TGGTCGAATTGTAGTTTTCTCGATTTAAGTCCAAGTATTGATCCCATGAAGATTTTTAATAATTAGAAAACAAAATAAAATAGTGAAGTTATTGTTTTAAAATATGAAAATATGAGATAGCTTGTGATGTGAGCTTAGATTGATAACTAGTNAGAGAGTTTTAGTATTAGAATTTAAAATAAAATAAAGAATAAAAAAAATGTAAAATTATTGTTTAAAGTGGTGTACAAGTGATAACTTGTGAAGTGAGCTTAGGTTGAGAACTAGTTTAATTAAATAAAGTGCGTAGGTAAGCTTGTTAATGAAAATAATGTAAAAGATACCCTTCAGTTTAGGGTTTCCATATGCTTTATATTGGTTAAATACTGAAAATGCTACCTTACCACAATTAACTCCCATTTTACTAGAAAGTCAACTGGTAGGTCTGATGTATATAGACCATCACACAACAATTTCTTAGGTTAGCTGGTGGTATTCATGTCAATTGATTAATCCAAGCAACCAGAAGGACAAGCCATTCATGAGGAATACTTGAATTACTCAATAGACTCTATAATAGTAGGTGCATATATAATAAACCATAATATAGCCACTTCTTAGGTTAACTGGTGGTATTAATTCATAACACAACAACTTCTTAGGTTAGCTGGTGGTATTAATTTATAACACAGTAACTTCTTAGGTTAGCTGGTTTTAGATGTATCAAGTGATTAATCTAAGCAAACCAGAAGGACAAGCCATTCATGTGGAATACTTGAATTATTCATTTGACTTCATCTGCGATACATATATACCAGTTAAACATCCTCAGCGTTCCAGTGGAGGATAAACCATACCGATAGGAATGCTGTTGTTGTTCGACTGGAAATATTATCATTTATATTAGTTAAATGATCTTAATAATCCAGAAGGACAAGTCATTCACGAGGATCACTTAGGTCATTAATCTAATAGTTATAGCATGCTACATTAGAACATCTTTAGCGTTCCAGTGGAGGACTAGCCATACTGATAGGAACACGTAGATTTTCATCTGGCAGTATTTTTATATATGAACAACCCTAATAATCTAGAGGACAAGCCATTCATGGGGATCATTTAGGTTTAGTACCATACAACAGTTAACATCCTCAGCGTTCCGGTGGAGGACTAGACATAGCGATAGGAATACCGTGGATTTTTTACCGGTAGGTTGATAATGCACTGATGACATAATTCCAAAAACAACACTAAAACTATGTACATCACTTTATCTTACATGAAGCTTATAATACATACATAGATAAAATATAAAAAAAACATCAACATTTCCAGAAGTTAACCAATAATATACATATGTTCACCCTTCACCGAAGGGTATAAGTGAACTACTCACTCTCCATTGTTACAGACAAGCAAGAAGTGCAGACAGTTTTTATTACAACTAAAATTAAAATATCAATTCTAAAACTTCTTTCATATGGAACAACTGAAACACAACCACCTTTATTATCAATTAAGACAAAAAAAGTGGCGGTAGTTCAACTATCCGAATAGAAAGATACAACATAAATGTAGAAATGTAGAAATATAGAATATTGGTGTAGGATATACCTGCTTTGTATTTGAATTTCTCTTTCTTTCTTTCTTTCTTTTTCTCTCTTTTTTTTCCCTTGGATTTCTCCCTTTGGAGCTCTAGGATGGCCGGCCTTTTGAAATGGTGGAGAACACTCCTATATATAGGCAAAATGCAAGAATGAGGTGGAAAGGTAAGGCTTTGCCACCTAGTGACCATCCGGACCCTAGGATCACCATCTGAATGGTGTTGCCTTGCAAGAGGTTCCAAGTGTCTTGTTCTTAAGCTTCAAGGTGCCTTGTAGTTGATCCATGTGTCGCGTGTTAGATGTTCCATGTGTCTATATTACACTTTGCTCCTTTGTTGTTTCAAGTTTTGCAAAATTGCCTTGCATTCTCCGGTATTTCTGCATTAGACCCTAAAATTTAAACATAAAGTATTTAAAACTTTAATTTCCACACAAATTATAATTACTCCTAATTGATAATTTTTAGTTGTTTTATCTTACAAAGTTGATTAATTAATCATTATAGTTTACACACTAATTAGGGTTAATTAGTCCTTATGGGTGAGCTGCACATAATTGGAGAGTGTCCTACCCCCTTCAACATTGTGTGGGTAGACTGGGATAGTAAAGGGAGGCCTCTCATACCTCAGCAATGTGGCAATCAGGTCAGGGGTCACCTTAAAAGTCTTCCCCCGGACATTAGTCCTTAACCCACACGCATTCTCACCAAACATCGACAATTTCTTATAGAACTCTCTACATAACCTCAAGTTGTAGCCACTCACCTCCTCAAACCAAATACCCAAACCATGTCGCTCGATCACCCTTACGTTTTCATCGTTTTGCCCAAGTAAGATCTTGTTCACGTACCTCTCACACATGACAATTTTTTCATAGATCCTTTGTCTACATGCATCATGTCTCACTTTTGTGAAACCCGGAAATTTTTTTAACTTTTTTCTGAAAAAAAAGGGCAAAATGGTAATTTGTCATTATAGTGTGGGTTAAAAACTGATATTTTTATAGACCTCAGATGGTGAAACGGACCTCACTGTTGGATTTGCCTCATGAAATCTAGTTACCAAAACAAATTTCGTCGAATTCTGTGATAGTCAGATTTTTCACGTTTTTTGAGGTGACGGGTGTTCGATGACTCCTAAAAACGAAATTTTTATAAAAATTTTAGAAGTTAAAAAATATTTTAAATAAAGTTCATATAAAATATTTTGAGCTTAAATCAGTACGAAATTTAATCGTTTCGAGGCGAAAACAGACCCGGACAAAGGACGACACTTGGTGCGACGAGGGCCAAGTGTTTAAAAAGTATAAAAGTGGACAAATATCTGAAAAATAAGATGTTTTCTCTTCATTCGGCCGGCTGGATCAGACCCAAGAGAAAAAAAGAAAAAAAATAATTCTTCAAGCTTTCTTTTGCCGATTCTCGGAGTTCCGTCGGTCGGAATTCGTCGGGCCAAGAATTAATGTCGATCTACGCGACGAGAGCTATGCGTGGGTACCAAAAACAAAGATTTTCACTGAAGATTCAAAGGGAGGATTTTGGAGAAATCTAAGCTTTGGACTTCAATCTTGTTCTTGAGGCTTTCTACAAATTCTTTACGCTTCAAGAGGTAGGGTTCCTCCTACTCGGACCTATTTCTAACCTAAGGTGTCCATAGGGTTCATGTGGGCTGTTTTGAGTATTTCTAACATTTTTTCATTATGGTTGGTGTTATGGAAATGGGTAGTGTGAATTGGTAGTTAGAAAGTGCTAGTTTGTGATTTCTAGAATGTTTAGATAATTGGTAATATAAAAATCATATATTCTGATTTTTATTTTGTTTGAATGATCCATATAAAATCTTGGCTTGATTTTGGTATATGGAAGTATTTATGTAATCCCTTGAAAATTGGGATCATGTGGGCATGCTTTGTGTTTTATATTATGCCTTGTGAATGAAATGTAATATTAGCATGTATTATGTGTTATCATGTTGATGGAGTGTTGATATATGCTCTTGGATATATTGAACTTGAAATGGTTATGTGATTATATGCAAATGATATTAATTGCCATGGTATACAATGATCTATAAAAATTGTCATTTGGCATGCATTGCAATATGGACATAGAATTAACATCACATTCATGGGCTACATGCATGAGTGTGGGTGTAGGGTTGCATGGGGTGATCAACACCAACATTGGTTCTTGATGGTAGGCTCGGGAAAGTGGGATGGAATGTCCTACGGAGTCGCACGGTGACATGCATAAGAAAACTTGTGTCGGGTATAGCAAGTAGGGCTAGACACTCCCTCGGGTGAAAAACCCGACCACTTGGTTCATACACTTACCGGCGGTGAAATTCCAGAAAAGTGTAACGGCGTACGGAGCCGGAGGTGCGATTCCTGAATCCGATACCCCATAAAGGCACATGATTTTGATATATAAATTATTCATTTGATGNGATACACTTACCGTCGGTGAAATTCCAGAAAAGTGTAACGGCGTACGGAGCCGAAGGTGCGATTCCTGAATCCGATACCCCATAAAGGCACATGATTTTGATATATAAATTATTCATTTGATGGGAAACATCCAAGAATGAATTAGTTTTATGACATATGGTTGATTTCAAAATGATCTTTGGATGTGTTTCATCAAAGACGTTTGTNCAATTATTCATTTGATAGGAAACATCCAAAAATGAATTAGTTTTATGTCATATGGCTGATTTCAAAATGATCTTTGGATGTGTTTCATCAAGGACGTTTGTTTTACACATAAGTGTCGCATTGTGTTGTGGGAGTCAGTGTGGGCTCGGGATAACATGCATGAGTGAGTTTCATCTCATTACTTGGCATGACATCATGATTTTCCAACATTGTATTATATGTTATTGTTGGAGGGAATACTTGTTGTGAAATGTTGCATTTATACATTGCATATGCATTTTAGGTGATGAGTAGCCTCTGTAGGGATTATTCTACTGGGCATTGGCTCACCCTATACGGGAAACATTTCAGGTGTGGGTCATGCACCAATGGACGGCTCACAATCCGGGTCACATGGTTGAAGAAAAGTCGACTTGTGGCTTCCAATCCATTTTTTTTTGTAAAAGTAGATTTGTAATTAAATTTTGGCATGTAATGTGTAAAGGAATTGTAATAGAGTATATATGGACTGTTTTAATATAACCTTGCATATTTTGATATAAATATGATGATTGGACCCGGTGTGGTCAAGTTTTANATTGACTGTTTTAATATAATCTTGCATGTTTGTATGAATATGGATAATTGGACCCGGTGTGGCCAATGTTTACTTATAAATGGACCCGGTGTGGTCATTGTTGAATATAAGACGTCGGATGGGTCTTGTTATTATATAATGCACATGTTGTGTTTTGAGTAGAGTTCTCCTTACAAAGGAGACTCTGCCTAAATTTTTAATAAAGGATGGACCCTAGTAAATGGGGCATAACGTTGAGATATCGAGTTACTTGGTATCCACGGGCATTCCGCGGGTTGATGAGTAATCAACGGACCCCCGGATTTTTGGGGTGTCACAACTTTTGTCCTTCTCTCCTCTCGATCTCCACTACTCAGGCCCTCCACGTTCCTTTTGCATGAGCTAGTGCCCATGGGTGATGGGGACTCAGGGCTCGTTCTCTTGGTATGGGCCATGGTGATCAATAGTGCCCCCAAGCCAAGAATTGTCAAAATCCACATCAAGAGCCACTCAACGGGCTCGAAGGTGTCAAGAGAAGTCCTTCCTACAAGAGCCATGGAAATGGGATTCCAAGATTTGAAGAAACCCTAAGGGTGATTGGAAAATGGGGTAAGAACTTGGGAAACTAGGGTTTTGTGAGAACACCAAGATTTTTGGTAAAAATCACTCAAATTCAACCCTAATCAAGAGAAATGTAAGAATTAAGGGCTTGGGTGAAGTGTTTTGAAGCTTGGAAGGAGTTAGATGGAGAGGAGAGAGTTTGGGAGCTTGAGATTTAGGGGAAATGTGAAGGATTTTTCAAAAAATTCTAACTTAAAACCCTCATTTTTGGCATTTTGGGCAAGACCTTTCGGAAGGTCGATCAAAACCTTTCGGAAGGTTTTGCTTACTACTGGGGCATAACTGTCTAGTAATGAAAACCTTTCGGAAGGTCGATGACAACCTTTCGGAAGATTTTTCACACTGGACAAAACTTTCTGGAAGGTTTTGCCTTTGCTACAAAACCATTCCTTTGCTCCAAAACTCACATCCAACCCAACTTTTTTCAAATCCAAAACATTTTAATACCCTATCCATGACATCTAACCTACCAAAAACTTGAACCACACATAGAACACAATTGATTGATCATGCCCAAAGTCATTTTCGAAATTGCAACATGATTTAAAATTTTGATGTTTTCAAAATATAAGACATGGATTTCTAATTTTGACTACCAAAATGAATACCCAAAATATAAAGCATAGATTCAAATGACAAGGGCATATGAGAAACACTATGGCTTTAAATTCTAGGCTAGAGTATGCACCCGTACATTCATTTTCAAACTAATGTGTGTGTGAAATGAACATGTAATTTAAGCATTTACACAACTTAGTTTACATTCACTTTAGCTATCCAAATTAAGCTTCGATGCAACCTCACCAAGGGTGTGTCTCTACAATGAATCACACTCTAGTCATCCTAGCATGCTCTTCATGTGTATATGTGAGATGGACTATTGTGCACAAAATGAAGTATGCTCACATATAATCCAAAATTGAAGTGTGCATATAAATGAAACAACCTTGGCATAATCTCATGAAAGGAATGCTAGGGCATTAGATAGCACAATCAACCTTTCTTTTTCTTTAAAAGTATGCTATCCCCTTATTTTCTCTAGATCATTTAGGACTTTCAAGCGTTATAATAGGGCCTTGGGGTGATATTGAGGCAAATGAAATAAAGGATATAGGATAACAAAGAGGGTTTTTCCGAGTGAATGACTTTTATTTCAAAAACATCTCCCTTTTCATGGGATTTTTAGTCTACACCATCATTTCACTCTTTGTTTCTTTTTCTTAAAATTTTCCATTTCTTTTGTCATTCTTTTCTTCTTTTCACCCCATTTTTCTCATTTTCTTGGATTTTTCATTCTTTTTCGTTCTACTTTTTGACTTCAACTTCATTCATCCCTTTGGTTAAGTTTCTGCATCAAAATTCCTTCTCTTTTATGATTACTCATATTCAGCTCTAGGAACAACCAATGTGAGGTTGATTTTTATCATTTTGCATGGGTTGGTCAAATGTGTGGCATGAAAACGAATTTACAATTAAGGCTCAATCATGGCACTAGGGATAAAATTTTCACAAGAAAAAGGCTAAGGCTCAAAAAAAATCAAGGATGGCCTAAGATCATTTTTTAGATAGGCACAGGAGAGCATTGTACATATCAAGACAAAGTCAATCAACTACCCCAATGCACCTAACCAAAACAAGCATAATGAGATTATTGAACACATTTGGAATTTGAAAAATTCTTCCTTAAGTAAATGTAAGTTCCCTCTAATAAGGATTGACACTAAAGCTCTCATGGATCCTTACTCATCTCCACTATTCATATCAAGCACTAAAAAGTGAACTCAATTTGTAAATTGTCAAAATTTCACATTCAAGGTGCACTTAAAGTTGAGTTCAAAAGCAAACACATATGTGATACTCGAGCATAGGATGAACTTCTATAATGTGCTCCTGTATTCAAGGTTCAATGCAAAGATCAACATATCAACAATAAAGGCATGAATGTAAACTCGAAATGCCTATACCATGTCCGAAACGTCGTCTTAGGGATATCAGCCACCCTAACCCTCAACAGATGGTAACCGGTGTGGAGATCTATCTTGGAGTAGCCCTGCGCCCTTCGCAACTGATCAAACAAGTCATCAATCCTCGGCAAATAGTACCTATTCTTGATAGTAACCCAATTCAACTACCGATAATCTATACACAATCGTAGGGTCTTGTCCTTCTTCTTGGCAAACAATATCGGAGCGCCCCAATGTGAAGTGCTTGGTCTAATAAAGCCCCTGTGCAATAATTCTTGCAATTGGACCTTGAGTTCTTGCAACTCAGCTGGCGCCATCCTATGTGGAGTCATAGAAATGGGCAAGTACCAAGATGCAACTCAATGGTGAAGTCTACATCCCTATGTGTGGAGGTAATCCTGATAATTCATCTGAAAAAGCATCCTCATATTTGCACACGACCCAAGGTAGACCCAACTCCTGTCTTGCCTCATCCTCTAGGGTAAGGCTTGCTAGCCAACCCACCAACTACTCGTGCCAATGGGAATCATACATGGCATGAGGTAAAGCATCACGTTTTTCCCCCTAAAAGTTGAAACAAATCCCCTTTGGGATGTAAGTATTGACCCTCTTTCGATCACAATCAATGACGACTTGGTGTGCCGCTAACCAATCCATCCCAAGGATAACATCGAATTCTGACATGTCCATGACCCTAAGGTCTACAGTAAGTAGAATCCCTGAGATCTCTAACTTGCAATCCTGACATATCTGATCAATTCTCACCCTAGCTCCTAGGGGAGAACTCACATGCAATGGCTCATCCAAGGTCTCAACCTCTAAGCCCAAATCCATCACACAAGTTAAATAATAATAGAGCATTAACTTAGTATCCCAAAGTAGAGATCAAAGTTGAACATTTGAGATTTCTCCCATTGTCTCACTAGTAGAGCATGTGTCACCACTACTAAACATTAATACCCTAAACCATTCCCTTCATTCTTTTCCTGACCCCAAGGTTATGTTCTCTAACCCTAGTGTCTCATTTCCATATATATTTCATCATGCATATAATTCACATAATACATAACACATACACATGTAGCATTTAAACACAGAAGATGAAATGCACAATGAATGCAATAATCTAGACCCAATGCCCATTAGCCCATGGAAATAGCATACCTATGCTCTGATACCAAGTTGTGACACCCCAAAAATAGGGGGTCCTTAATTTAACAAAATTTGGGCAGAGTCTCCTTTGTACAGGAAGCTCTACCCAAAACACAATCTGTGCATTAAACAATCACATGACCCATCCGAGGTCCAATATACAATATTGACCACACCGGGTCTATTTAAAAGTAAACATATAATAGCATGCAAGATTTCATTAAAATAGTCCAAAAACTTAGTGAGTTTTTCACAATAAAACTCTATATATACAAGTTCCATTGCAAGTAATTCCATATAACTACATGTCCAAAACAAAATTTTTACAAAACTTCAAAACAAAAGCCACATTCTGGCTTTCTTCATCCATGGGGCTCGGATTGGGAGCCTTCCACCGGTGTGTATCCCGCACCTGAAATATTTCCCGTATAGGGTGAGCTAATGCCCAGTAGAGTTATTCCTATAGAGGCTACTCCCCAGCTAAGTGCATATGCAATGTTTACATTTAACATTCATACCAAACAACATTCCATACAAAGTTTAAAATTTTATGTTAGAATTTCACCGTGTCATGCTATGGAATGAGATGAGACTCACTCACGCACATCCACTTGAGCCCTCGCTGATTCCCATCGCACAATTCAATGCACGAGTGAAAACCTTTATCATTGATGGAATACATCTAATGTTCATTTTTGAAATAATTGATGGAATACATCTAATGTTCATTTTTGAAATACAAACTATGTGTTTATAAAACCAACTCATTCTTAGATATTTCCCTTTGAATGAATACTTTGTATTACAAAATCATGTGTCTTTGTTGGGTATCGAATTTCAGAATCACACCGACTGGCTCCGTACGCCATTACACTTTTTTAGAATTTCACCTCAGGGAAGTGTATGAACCAAATAGCCAGGATTTTCACCCGAGGAAGTGTCTAGCCCTTCTTGCGATACCTGACACAAGTTTTTCTTATGCAACCATGTGACTCCCTTGGATTTTCAATCCCACATTTTTGAGTCCACATATTAATCACGAAGAGTGGTGTTTGATTAAACCATGCATACACACCCACACTCATGCCTAATCCCATGAATGAGTTGACAACCTCATGCCCAAAATACATGGATGCCAATTGAGCAATTTCAATAGCCATAACATATCTACGTGGAATGAATGCCATATAGATTATATCTATCACATTTGAACACTTACATTTTCAATGTAAATCACCTCATAAGCATATGATTTCAACACACCATAACATCCAAGCATATTATTTCAATTTCATCAAAATGACACTTCAATCATTTAAGACATTTATCACATCCCCATACAAGACATAATTTATATAGAAACATAACATGCTCACATAGTAGTCCCAAAATAGGCCACATAACAGCCTCAAAACAGGACGCATAACAGCCCCAAAATAGGTCGCATAACAACTCCAAAACAGCCCACATAGCTGCCCCAAAACATGCCATATAATAGCCCTAAAACCTCCAAAACTTAATTTTCCCAAAATCTCTCCTTTGAATCTTCAGTGAAATTCTTCATTTCTAGTGTGGTTGCGTTACCCTCGTCAATGTGATCGATTGTAACTCTTAGCTCGACAAATTTCGACCGATAGAACTCTAAGAATTGACGAGAGAAAATTTGTTTTTTATCTTTTCTCTCCCTCTTTCTCCCACACGTTTAAGGGTTGAATTATAGAGATATTTCAAAGAAATATCTGATTTTTAACCCTATTTATAATTTTAAAGACTTGGCTCACATCGAGGCACACGCCTCCCACTTGTT